ATTATATTGATGAATTTTACACATGAGCAAATAACAGTTAAAAAAAATAGGGTAGTTTCACTGTAAAAATATTTTGACTACTTAATAAAAAAAATAATTTGAATGCATATTGGTCTCCTATGCTTGCAGTGGTCATTGATGCTTATAACTGGTACACTTTTAAAATCTTATGACTTTCACGATTTTGTATCAAGGTATTTGTAGTGCCTATTCACTTGCTATATTTGACTGTCCCCTTTAAGATTTAAACTACAAAAATCCAAATGAATGGTCCATGAGGTATCTAGAACCATGTACCCATACCCAGACAACACTTTGTATGGTACATGACAGTCCTTTATAAATACATGTTTTATCTTACAGGGTTACGGACATACCCGTTGTATTTGAAATGACTGTTGAAGAAATAATTGGATTTTTTCAGTCTATATACATGTATCAAGAATTCCTGAAACATGATAAAAATGAAGCCATCAGATTCCTGATGCATCTTGAACAGAGGTGATGTATACAGAGTAGAATTGTGATGTATAGAGAGTAGAGTTGTGCACAGTGGGAAAAATTCAGTCTAGCCAAACAAAAAAAAACAACTTTTTTTTTTTACCCAATATTTTTACCCCAAAATTTTTCATTTAGTTCAGGACCTCAAGCTCAAAAAATGACTGAAAAAAAAAAATGGGCCAATCAGTGCAGTGTAAAGTATATACACAAATACACAACATAAATACTATCTATATGATTTTCAGTACATTGATCAGTGCATTTTCCCAACGCTTTGGTACAAGAGACAAAAAAATTACCAAATAAAAGGGGGGAAGCAGTTTAACCCCCCCCCCCAAAAAAAAACAAAAAACCTACATTGTATATGAAACCAGAGGGCTGCACTCATCTGAACATGCAAAAATGGGGTGTTGCTGGGGCCAATTCATACAAGATACACAAGATCCAGTGCACTCACTCATCCACTATATATATATATATATATATATATATATATATATAATCGTATTTAGCCTTGTACTGCAGAGTGGATTTTTCCACCCTAAGCAAGTGGGTTAATCTCAGAAGAGCAGACATTAGGTTGTTAGAGTAGGACCTGCCAAAGATGGGGTACATTGATGTTGAGGCAGACTTATGCAATGCATGATCATATGTTTAAAAAAAAATTAAAAAAATAATAAAATCTGTGAGCTTTGAAGTTGCTGTTTAGTGAATGAGTTAGTGTGCGGGATCTTGTGTAATATATATATCATTTTTATTTAATTTTTTTTTGCACCATGGGTAAAATTAAACCTGTTTGGCCTTTGTAAACCCACATGGTGGTGATATATAATTTGGTTGAACAGAGAATGCACAGTCTAATAGACATTTCTGAATCAAACATTTATATAGGTAATATAGTGACCACAAACTGTCCTCTATCAAAATACTAACTTAAAAAGTATAAAAGTTATTTTCACTTAGATTTCCTAACAATTCTCTAAGAATTCTCACTTTAGTATATAATCTGACAATAATTTGGGGCTTCTAAAAGAGAGGGAATTTAGGATACAACAGAGTGTTTTGCAAAAAAAAACAGAGAATACGAGAACACTGAGAATGGGCAAAAGCTTTAATAAACTCAGTAGCTTGCATTTCGGTTAGTCCCCGCTCAGGTCTCAAAAATGTTTTTGCTCACTTGTGTCATTACAAAGAGAACCTATATCATTTGCAAATCATATTGATACCACCCATAAGGGCAGTCAAGAACCAAAATATCAGCAAGTTTCTTTGCACAAGTGATAAACCGGACACCCCCAAATATCAAAATGTTGCCCCCGCAATTTGTGTCAAGGCCACTTTTTTGACTGACAGACACATGCCCTCATTGACACATGCACTGATATACACTCACTGACAGATACAGTCATTGGCACACACATACAGTCACTGGCACACACTGTTTATCCAACACACACTTTCACTGACTGACACACCCACTCACTGACATGCACACACTCTCAGATACACATAAAATGACATACACTCACAGGCACACCCATTCTCACTGAAAGACACACATTGACAGCTACACTCAAGGTAAACAAGGCATTTGTCTGGAAGCCTGGTGTGGCGTTTTTTGGCGCCCCCTGAAAGTGCCGCCCTAGGCAAATGCCTTGTTTGCCTTGTAGTAAATACATGCCTGAACCCCGGGACACTGGGGAGGTTTGCATATACCATACAAGGACAGACTGGGACTAATATGGGTTTTTGGCTCATTGAAATGCAATTCACATTGAAATGTTATATGTAACCTTTGTATAACTGTCACTATGCATGTGTTTGTAGCTTGCAATGATTTGTATGAAAGCATGTTTGTTTTTCGTTATGCTGACCCATATCTCCCCCTACAGGTTTCGTGACATTCTAGGAGATGGCTATGAGTCAGCACTCATTAAGGTCCATATTAAACACTATTGTGTCCTAGCCTGCAAATCATCATGAGTCTGGAGAAATAATGGAATGGGGAAGAGATTGTGTAGCATGTGTCTACACTTTCCTCTTGTATTCAATAATATATAATCTTTAAATAAAGAAACTATTGACTTTGTTTGAAATTCTATGCCTTTTTAGATAAGTAGATATCTTGTATTCAAAGTTGTGTAACATATTTAAAGCTCAACAGCAAAACAAGGAACATTTAGCAGATAAATACCATTATTTTCTGCCACATGATAATATTCCATCACACGATGGAAGAGCCAGGAAAGAGGACACGTAAGCAGGAAGATTTCCAACTCTCCATATATATTTGGTTTTTGTCTCAACTGCCACATTCAAAAGATTAATTTATGGACACCAACCATCGGTAACATCCCTGTTGCTTTTGTAAAAGCTCTCATGTTTACCGCATATATAAATGGTAGGTTTAATGTCATAAAACTTACAATAAAGTATATGTAATACATTACAATATGTTCATGTAATCTTTAAATGAAGAAAATATTGACCTTTGTTTGAAATGCTATCCCTTATTCGATAAGTAGATATAAAGAGTTATGTCTTTATTGCAAGGATAAAAGAACCGCTGCCCTGGTCCCCATAATTTACAGGGCCCACAGTTGCATTATCTCAGGCCCTAGTTGTGTCAAAATTGCCCAGGGAGGCCTCAAGGGATCTTATAAATACAGAGTACATTGTTTGTCATCCTATCACTGTACACCAAGACAAATTACCCTGGAGCATACAGCAGCTGCAAGAACATTAGAAGACAGATGTCTTGTGTTCAACTTTGCAAGAAAATGACCCCTGAAACTAAGATGGTGCCCATTGACTCCAACCCCCATAACTGTTATGCATGAACATAATGCTACATAAACCTGCATCCTTAGCAATGCCAATTTATGCCTGAAATTCTTATTTATAAAATGTTTACACACACACACACCTCAGCCCCATCACTGAGTAAGCTGCTATTAATTAACAACCCGGCTGCAGACAGTAGGATGCATACAGGTAGTGATATGTTTATTATATGTATGACTAGTTATCCTCTCCTAATGCAGGTTGCTTTGCAGTTTAGATTACTCAGCACTGTCCGTGGCAGAGCAAACTATGAGTATACATAGGTGGTAGAATGAGCCATTGGGCAAATGCCACCCGTGCCCCTCTGGATGGCTCTTAAAACAGCCACATCACTCAACCAAATCAAACACATGACACAGCACATTTAAAACAGTATGGCAAGTGTGGGATCTGGTTTGGGGGTTATGTGGCAACCGGGTTGGGTCCTTCAGCCCTCTAATAGTGTACCAGACCTAGCCCTGCTCACTTGGTTAGTGTGGGGGGTGGATGAAAGGTATTGATGAAGCCTGGTGCCAGAGCTAGACTTCCATCAGCTTGGCCAAAAGGGGCGGATGCAAGCTATGTTTTTAAGATGGAATCTACAGGATTTAACAACAAAGTGAATGTGAGGCTCAACAGTGAGGCCAGAGTCAAGTATGATGTCAAGACAGCGCACTTGCAAGGATGGACTTATGTGGGTACCACTAACTTGAATGGAGAGTGAAAGAGGAGGATCAGTATTAGGAGGAGGAAAGACAAAGAGATCAGTTTTAGAGAGATTTAGTTTCTGAATGCGGAAGGACATCCAGTCAGAGATGGAAGAAAGGCAAGCAGTGACACGATGCAGGACGGCAGGGGAGAGGTGCGGGGAGGAGAGATATATCTGGGTGTTATCAGGGTACAGGTGGTAGTGGAATCCAAAAGAGGCATTAAGTTTGCCAAGAAAGGCAGTATAAAGAGAAAATAGAAAGGGACCAAGGACAGAGCCTTGGGGACTCCAACCGAAACAGGACGTGGGGAGGAAGTATCGTTGGAAAAGGAGACACTGAATGAGCATTGGGAGAGATAAGAGGAAAACCACAAGAGGACAGATTCACAGAGACCAAGTGATTAAAGAGTTGGAAGAAGGAGAGCATGATCAACGGTGTTAAAGACAACAGAGAGGTCAAGAAGAATTAGTACGGAGTAGTGGCCTTTGGATTTAGCTGTGATTAGTTCATTAGTAACTTTGATAAGAGCAGTCTCAATAGAGTGGAGAGGGCGAAGCCAGATTGAAGAGGGTCAAGGAGAGAGTTGGAATTGAGGAAGTGAGACACATGGGTAAATGCAAGTCTTTCCAGAAGCTTTGAGGAAAAAGGGAGCAGGGATATGGGAGGCAAAAGACAAGGGGAGAGAGATCTGATAAGGTGAGATGGGACAGGATCGAGCGAGCAAGTGTTGGGGCAAGAGGAAAGGAGAAGCGCAGCCTCCTCTTGTTCAGTACCCGGGGAGAAAGTCTAAAGGGTAGGAAAGGCATGATCTACGTGTTGTTGAGAAAGAGAACGGCATGGTGGGGAGAATTCTTTCCTTAACTGTTCAATCTTGTCGGTAAAGTAACATGCAAAGCTATCGGCTATAAGGTTAGTTTGGGGAGTGGTCACATCAGGGTCGAAGAAGAGAGTTGTCAAAGGTGTCAAAGAGATGTGTGTGTGTGTGTGTATATATATATATATATATATATATATATATATACACACACACACACACACACACACACACACACACACACACACACACACACACCTGATGCTGATAAAAGACCCAGAAGGGGACTGAAACATCGGTCCATCCTATTTTAATTATCCTTCAATAAAGAATCTTCATTTTATCTTCACAAGCCCTTGAGTACCAGTCGTACTCCTTTACTGGATATATCGTTTCGACTTTAAGCACCCGGCCACTTTTACTAATAGCCTGAGTGCAAGGACTCTTTGGATATATATATATATATATATATGAATCCAGATAGCACTCTCAGGACTGTTAGATCAAATAAAAACAGGACTAACAAATACAGTACAGTGACTCACATATATACCTAAATACATATTAACAATCAACTTACCCACTACCGGAATAATTGCCTGCTCCCTGTCAGCCCGGTCCGGATCTCGTGCGGGTTCGGCCGAAGTCAGTTTAACAGACTGAAATGTTGGTTCTTTTTTACAAGCTCATTAAAAGCTAAGTTGATCTAACAGTCCTGAGAGTGCTATCTGGATTCCTTTTTATATTTTGCTTGACAAGCACCGGGCAAGTATATCTAAATCATATGTAGTGCAGGATTATTTTTATTGATAGAGATATATATATATATATACACACACACACACACAAAAATAGAAAAGTAGGGGCTGCACTTACGGTCTTGGTATCAAAGTAGAAAAATAAATTTTATTCCATGTGTCACAAACGATGTTTCGGTCCGCACAGGGACCTTCCTCAGGATAAAGTGAAGCACAAATACAAGTGACAACTGTAACATATATATACACATACTAATAAATAGGTAATGACTTACCCAGGTGAAATTCATATCGCCCGGCGTTCCCCAAACTTAACTGCGCATGTGCAAGCCCTCTGTGAACCCGCGTTGACCCGCGTCCACCTGCGTGATGACGTCACGATGCGTCGTCGTCAAGGCGAAGAAAAAAGTGGAAGAAAAGGAGCTAAACAAATTATAAATTAATAATAATAATAATTGTGGAAATAAATGTGCCTACTTAGACTTACCACCAAATGTGAATCTATAGTATAACAATCTATAAATCAGCAAACAGACCACCCGTAGGCTAGGTACTAAGAAACATCTCGAAGAAGATTAATTTCAATAATTTTAATAATTTTAAGATACTACCTGCTTCAATTGATACTAAGCTAAATATAGCTGTATCAAATCTTTTATGCTACTTAAGTAGTATCTTATATCTTCTAAACAAGAAAGTCCATATCAATTTCCAAGACTTACAATGGATAATTAGACAATCCATGAAATAGGTTATTAATTTATTGTGTATCCTCTAAGCTAAGTTTATTTGCAATAGAGGAACCAACCTATTAATGAGGAGATTTTATATATACATTTTTTCTCCCATGTCTTGGGTATATATATATGGTCTGTTATGCTGAACATAGAAAGAACTAAAAATTAAAAATTATAATAAATCAAATATATCAGAATAGCTAAAGGTCAGTATGCACATCTCCACATAGGATCAGAAGGTGTTAATTTTTAAGGTCTTACATTTTTTTTTTTTTAATTTTCGAACTTCTTAAACTATTTAAACTTTTCTAAACCTAAAATTAAGTGAATGGCTTTAGGATATACTGTCACTATAAGCTCTTATTCATTATTAATTATTAATTATTTTAGTTATATAGTTTAATTTGCAATTTAATTTCTTTAGTTATTATTTATTATTAATTCACCCTTAAATCTACAATGGGTTTACCTACTGAGACCTCAAAGAGATGTGAATACCTTCCAAAAACATTCCTAATTGCCAGCAGGATAAATAGAACGAGAGCTTCCTTATTCAAAAAATAGAAAAAGGAAAAAGAAACATATTAAATAAAGGAGTGATACGTCAGTATCTCATTTAGTCCTCTGGGTGAAACTGTATCCAGTTTAAATATCCAAAAAGTTTCTTTATTCAACAACATCTTGCTTCTATCACCTCCCCTTCGTAGCTCAGGGATATGATCGATCACCGTGAACTTAAGTGATGACAGTGGATGTTGTAAATCCAAAAAATGTTTTGCGACTGGTTTGTCGCTAACTCCGTCTCTATATGCTGTCCGTATATTCGAGCGGTGTCCTCGAATACGCTCACATAAAGAAGTTATAGTCTTGCCCACATACGACAAACCACATGGGCACATTAATTTATAAATAACATACAGAGTTTTGCAAGTAATGGTGTAATTTATATTGAATTCTTGGTTGGTATGTGGATGGTGAAAAGTGCGTGAAGGAACCATGTGACTACAGGTCACGCATCCCAAACATCGGACGCTTCCTCGTTTTCACTTTTAATATTGTTAGCATCTTCTGAAGTCACCATCTACCTTAATCATTCATAGGTTATCATTATCAGTCCCACTGTTGGCAATAAATTTCCTCTCTCATTCTTCTTAATAATAAGTGCAGAGGAACCCCACCCAGTGCAAGGGTCTTTGGGTACTAGTACTCTTCTTCCCCTTTTTTTTGATGGCTCTCATATAGGTATGAGTGTGCTGCCCAGCACCCAGAATAGCTGTATGAGGGCCAAACAATTGTGTATTCCACATCCACAAGGGCCCAAGATCAGGGACAGATTGTCTTTTAAGTGTTTAATCCAAGCAAAAACTGTATTTTAATAGAACACTGTGCCAGCATTTTCACCCTCTATTAAAATAACAAAATAAAGCAAATGTAATGATATGCTTCCTCTGTGTTTGTTAGTGGTATCACAAACGACATCCAACACATGTGCAACCCTACAACTAGCCTCCAAACACATGTTTGGAGGCCACTTGTGGGATTGCATGTGTGAAATGCTGCTTGTAATATTGTGTTCCTGTATGTCAAATGTGTTGTGTTAGAATTAAAAGTTTGCCTTGTCTCTTTGATGCTACATAAGTAATTGTAATAATTGTGTGTGTTTAAGAAGGCTGTATGCAGTATTGCATGTGTGGGAAGGCTGCTTGTGATGTGTGTGTGTGTGTGTGTGTAGGGAGACTGCATGTGGAATTGCATGTGTGGGGATGTTGCTTGTGGGATTGAGTGCATACAGTGAGTTTGCAGTATGAGATTGGATTCGTCTGTTTGAAATGTGTAGTTTGCAGTGTAGTATGTGAGTGGAGAGGACTGTTTGTTTTGCAGTGTGTATGTGGATAGAGGTTGTAATAGATGTCTGGTGAATACTGTGGCTGTAGTATGTATGTTTGTATGTATGGAAAGTAGGACTCAATTGTGTGTGTGTGGGGAATATAGCAGTTACAGTGTGTGAGAGGAGCATAGCGGCTGTAGTGTATGGGAGGGTAGGGGCGGCTGTATGGGTGTGGGGGTATGGGCTGCAGCAGTGTATGTGGGCGGTAAGGGCTGCAGTGTATGTTGGTTGTAGGGGCCGCAGTGTATGTGGGGGGTGGGTGCTGCAGGGTGTGTGGGGGTAGGGGCTGCAGTGTGTGTGTGGGGAGCAGAGGCTACAGTGTGTGGGGGGTAGGGACTACAGTGTGTTTAGGGGGAATCGGCTGTAGTGGGTGCAGGTAGAGATAGAGCTGTAGTGGTGCAGGGTGAGATAGGGTCTGTAATAGGTGAGATATAGGGTCTGTAATAGGTGCATAGGTGGTAAAGTGAGGCATATGGGCTTTAGTGGGTGCAGGGGGCCAATGTGGCTGATGTGGGTGCATGGGGGGGTCAAAGGGACTGCAGTGGGTGTAGGGGAAAACAGAGCTGTGGTGTAGTATCTTAGTTTTCATAAGAAGGTATAAATTGATCATTGATGTTTAATGAAGATCTTGTAGATAGATGCTTGCATTCTGAGTCAGATTATTATTCCATTTCCTGAGACTAATGGTGTCCTCGTAGGGCATTTTGAATTCTTTTACACCGTGGGGAAGTAATGGAAAGTCGCTATTCTGTGTATTTACAAAACATAAACTCATATTTGCTCCTAGAGCTCAATTTGTCAGGGGCAAAGTGCTAGAAACTGAATGTGGCACCTTATAATCTTCATTGAAGTTATGAACTCAAACAAAATGAGGGGCTTGTGCTGTGTAGGTCCAAGGATGAAATGCATCCCCCCCCTGCCCCCCGTGCACCAAAAGCTCGCCAACATCTATTATGTTATGCAGTGCACATAATGAATACAATGTCGGTTTGTGTAGAGGGTGCAGTGTGTGTATTGTATGCATTGTGTGTGTAGTGAATGCAGTGTATGTGTGTCATGGATGTTGTCTGTTTTTGTGTCATGGATGTTGTGTGTATTGTATGCAGTGTGGGTGGACTACATTGTCTTAGTCTGTGGAAGTGGAGGCATTGTCTGTGTTTGTGTAGTGTACGCAGTGTATGTAGTGCATGCAGTATTTGTGTGGTGGATGCAGGGTGTCTAGTGGATGTAGTGTCTGTGTCTGAATGTGGATGTAGTGGCAGCATAGTGGATGTAGTGTATATGCAGTGCATGTAGTGTTGCGTAAGTGCCAGGGGGGTGAACAGTTTGAATTACCTAAGGGCTGGAAGGGGGGGTAGTGTGTAGGAAGGTGACAGTATAGAGGGACAGTGTATAGGAAGGTGACAGCATAGGGGGGTAATGTGTAGGAAGGTGACAATGTGAAGGAGCAGTGTGTAAGAAGGTGAAAGTATGGGGAGGGCAGTGTACAGGAAGGCTGTGGGGGGAAGGCAGTATGGGTGAAAGTGTGGGGGGCAGGCTGTGGGAATGCAGTTTGTGGGGGAGCAGGGCGTGGAGGGACAGACTGTGCGGAGACAGGTTGTGGTTGGGGGGACTGGTTGAGGTGGGAGGGACAGGTTTTGGTTAGGGGTACAGGTTGTGGGTCAGGGGGACAGGTTGAGGTTGGGGGGACAGGTTGTGGTTGGGGGGACAGGTTGTGGTTGGGGGGACAGGTTGAGATTGGGGGGAGGCAGTGTGGGGTGGGCAGATTGTGGGGAGGCTGTGACAAGCCCCCACAAATTGACATACCATTTCCCTGGTGATCCACGGGATAGCTCTCCTGTCTGCAGCTCAGC